ACTGTATGTTGGTCTGCAGTTGGAGATTCATTGTGGAATTCACTTGACTCACTTCTAGCAGTTGACTACTTCTACACACTGCTGGCAAATCTTATATGTATTGTTCTTGTCCTAAGTATTATCATTCATTACCAACCTTAGTGTGATTATTCTATTCAGTAACCTTCCCTAGGTTACAACAATCATTTAGGCCATTATATAGCCACTATTTTTTTTATTTTTTTTAATCAATTCACCTCAAGCAAATTGATAATGCCACTGTGAGTGAAAGAGGATGAGAAGATTTGAAAGGAACATGAGACCCAATCCTAAATGGGGAAACAAGGGATAAACCTCTATTCCTGTTCAAAAGACCAGAGAGGAGTGTGAACCTCCCTTAAAAAATTATCTTGCTTTCAGTGATCTGTTTATTATAAAAGAGTCATTAAGTGAATTGATTCATTAAAAGCTTAAGAAAGCAAAAACAAGGTGGGTTGAAAAATTGGGACAAATAATTATGAATTGCTGTTTCATTGATTCATTTGTTTTTTATGGCTTATCAACCTTTTGTGGGCTATTTAAAGCTGAAATATATTTCAGATTGTAGGTGTTTACTCACAGTACTTGTTGTTCCTAAGCAGTCCCCCACATAAGTACTGACCTGGATCAACATCAAATAATTATGAAAATAAAAGAATAGATTAAAATTGTTAGTATTTAGAGTAAGAGGCATCAGGAAGTTGTGGAGAGCCATGGTTGTGCACATCCTGAAAAGACATGACAAAGAAAAGAAGAATGATATATAATAGACATATTATAACCCATATTACAAGACAAGAGGTGTGCTAAAAATTCTTGTGGCAAAAAAGACAGGAAGTTGCTGGAAGCCATGATTGTCCACTTTTATGAAAAGACCTGACTGAAAAGAAGAATGATATATAATAAACATACATATTTTGGTTGACCCATATTACAAAACAAGGGGTGTGCTAAAAAATTCTTGTGGCAAAAAAAGACAGGAAGTTGCTGGAAGCCATGATTGTCCACTTTCTGAAAAGACCTGACAGAGAAAAGAAGAATGATATATAATGACATACATATTTTGGTTGACTTGTATTACAAGGAGGTGCTGAAAAGTTCTCGGCTTAACCAATTGATTGATTCATTTTTTATGGCTTATCAACCCTTTACAGCTTATTTAAAGCCAGAAAATATTTTTAGATCCTATGAATTATTTTTTAAGATAATAATGGTTTGGTGATACAAGTCTTACTAATTAACTCATAGCTGGGGTGAGGGGAGAAGTGTATTCATGCCTTTCCCAAGGGTGCAACAAACCCAAAGAGAATTGAAACTTAGCTCTCTGATTAACAATTCTGAGCCATTATCTATTATGCCACCCACATATCCAAGCTTATCATACTTGGTATTCCCAAACGGTCACCCATCTATGTACTGACCAGGCTTGATATTGCTTAACTTCAATGATCATACTTGAATAAATGTTTCAGCATGATGTGGGTGCAATTCCCAGCTTAATCAAGAAGCCCTTCAAAAAACATGGAAGTTTGGTAATTTGATTAAATTTTGGAAGTGGGTTTGGCTGGTTACTTTGTAATGAGGGATTCAGAGCTCTAGTTTCAAGTTTAGAGTGAATTTTTAATTCTTTAATTGTATAAATCCCAGAAGATGGCATACTTTATTTGTTTTATTTTATTTGCATAGATCATTTCATCTTTATTTAATAAGGGCTTTATTTGAAGCAGTTGCCACTGCACTTGAATTTTGACCTTCTTGCTGGTACAGCTGGAGGGTTTAGTGTCAGCTTCCCATATATCATGCCAGCTCAGATTTTTACTTTTTTTAAATCATGTCTTTTCAGTATGTAAGCAATCATGGCTTTCCACATTTTGTTTTTTCTTTTAATATCTATTGAAAATAGCAAAGTGTTTTCCTATTGCCTTAACATTATTTTGAATTCAGGAATCTTTTTTCCTAGAATGGCTACCCTAGAGAACCCATTCTGTTCAGCACATTGGATGCTGTCCAAGATTTGGATGTTTTAAATAATTTTTTTATTTGAATGTTGAACCAGTATCTGTATGTTTCAGATTTGATTATAGTTGTTTTTGCTATTACCCAAATTGACTGGAAAAATTACATTGCATTGATTCATATGACAGCTGAATCTGAATAAAAACATACTTTCTTTTGATCGAAAGAGCTTTAAATTAATGTCCTCCAATTTCTTCTCATTATTAGAACATTTTGTCTGTTGTATCTTCCATCCTTTTTCAAGTTTCTGTCAAAACAGATAACCTTCAGTGAATTTTGAACTAACCCCTTTTTATCTGCAGGGGTAGATTGTTCTCGTTTCACTGTTCATGTCTTGAGATAATTCATCTTAGGAAAAGAGTGATTTTTTTTTTTTTATTGCAAGAATTTTATTTGAACCAGTTTTCTCACTACAATGGAATTCTGACCATCTTGATGTACAGATAGAGGTTTAGTATCAGCCTCTCATCCATTGTACCAACACATTGGAATTTTATTTTTTAATCATGTCTTTTCAGAGTATAAGAAATCATGGCTTTCTACAACTTTCTTTAATGAAGTAGTTTCCTCATTGCCTTCACCATGGTTTTGTATTTAGAGATTTTCTTCTCCTAAATTGGTTGCCCTTCCAAAGAGTCTGTTCAGAATGTTGGATGCCATCCAGTATTTGGATTGATTTCTTTTTTTTAACTATGTATTTTACAGAATGCAGGTTGAATTCTAAACACTATTTTTTTTTTTTTTTTTTTTACTAATTTTCAGGGCATCATCCCCCTAGGTGACTGTCAGGTGTCTGTCACTCAAGAACCATCTCATCCATTTTCATTTGTTGTGAGCAGTCGAGATATAAATGTAAGTTTATTTTGTTATCTTTTTTTTATGAAGACTTGGAACCAAGTCAGTGTCATAGCAATGGGAAGTTGGTGTGCAAGGGTCACTTCTTTATTAAAAGTTGATTCCCAATCATTGCCAAAATTTTTCTCACTGACCAACAATAACCAAAAATGACAAAATAGCAATATTGGCAAGATAACTTTGGCGCTGTAGCTGAGAATGACACTATTTTCATTTGAAGAGCTTGGAACATACCATAATTGGAACACCAGATTCCACATTTTCATAATTTGCTGCCTTTTCTAAAACTGGCTGGGAAAATTCTAACACCCATTTCCACAGATATTAAAGGCTCTTAATTATGCAATTGGCAAGCAGGATAAATTAACTCTGCTCGGGTGTAATTGAAATTTCTGGACGTTTATAAAATCTGAATTTTGATGAATAAAATGTCTACCAGAATTAGACCAAGAATAGGACAAGAACAGTGTAGCTTTGTTAAAGACGCTGAGGAATGCAATATTTATCTTCAGAATGACACCAGAAAGTGTGATACAAATTTAGAAGGATATATACTTATACAAGAGTGTTAGTTTAAATTTCGATTCAAGTAGGTAAAAAGTTTTTGATAAGGTACAACACAAAGAACCATTTGAACTAAAAGCTAAACAGGGGATTGAAAAACAGGAAAATTTTTTTAGAAACAAAGAAAAGAGTAATGAACTGCTGCATAATATCTAATTTTTTACATTAGAATAGAGAAAAGTGCCTTCCTAATGTCATCAGCTTCTTTTTTTACCAGTGCTCATATTGCAATTTATGCTGTTACCATAGCATGTTTTTACCAGAGCTCATATTGCAGTTTTAGTTGTTATTATCGTTTTTCTCTGGCACTCCTCCTGATTGGTTCCCATATTGTATTCATTTCTGTGCTTGGTCAGTTCAGGAGATTTTTGTGGCCTAGCATATGTGCTGATTCCTTAAGTTTATGTGTTCTTTGTCTATGATCTCAACCACCTGAAGAAGGCTGGAGCTTACAATGGCCGAAACATTGTAATAAATATGGCAACAAAGATGAGGACAATAGTCTGAATAATGTAAATAGTATACATAATACCTCATCTCGGAAATATAGACAAATACTAATTTTTTTTTTCTAAAATATCTATTGGGGAAAGAATTGTCCATTTTTGATGAGTGGATATTTGGAGTGATGGTTGATAAAGATAGTACTAGTGACTAATTTACATGGTGTTGGAACATTGATCAATTCTGGCTGAGCTGTGGTTAAAAATTTTACACTTTAACGTGTAAGAAGACTGTGAGTTTATTGTGTGGCTGAAGTTGTGAACATTGGAAAGCTGCATATTTTGAGGACTGAAAACTTTAACATCTGGTTGTAGAGTGTTGCGGAATAATTAACCCTCTTCACTTGTGCTTGAGAAATATGAAACCTGGTGAAAAGAAATGATTTTTTGAGAAATTCTCTATGACATTGATAAGCCAAACAGAGCTCTGATTTTATCACTCAAAAGCAAAAGTGGCAGTTTTCGAAGTAGATCCAACAGAGCTGAACAAAGATGATGAGTTAGAAAGAAACTCTTTAGATTCTTTTACCTCAAGCAAGGCAATAAAGCCACTAAGATGTAAGGAGTTACTGAGTGTCAAAGAATATCACAAAGAAAAACATTAGTATGGGGTGATTGATTAAATGATTCATATTTTTTTACGGCTTATCAACCCTTTGTAGGTTATTTAAAGCCAGAAAATATTTTTAAAATGTAAGAATTTTTTCTTTTGTTTTTTAATCTTTTTATCTGAGTGTGAAAGAATATTAAAAAAAAAAGAAAAAAAACATTATTATGGGGTGATTGATTAATTGATTGATTCATTTTTTACGGCTTATCAACCCTTTTAAAACCATAAAATATTTTTAGAATGTAAGAATTTTTTTTGTTTTTTTGAGATAATAATGGTTTAGTGATACAAGTCTTACTAATTAACCCATAGATGGCGAGAGAAGAGGTATGTTCATACCTTTCCCAAGGGTAATTGTGCATAAGTAAATATTATAAAAAAAAAAAAAAAAACTGGAATTGGAACTCTAATTAAAAATTTGCAGTAATTATTCATTACAGCACCAGATATTCCCAAGCATTCACCCATCTAAGTATTGATCAAGCTCAACATTGCTTAACTTTGGTGATCATATGGGAACTGGTATTTCAATGTGATGTGGCCTTAAGGAGTGAAAGAACAGGAATTAAGAAGACGGGAGATAATGCTTAGCATTGCATTAGAATTTTTGAAGATCAATGTCAACTGGAAAGCAACAAGCTGGAAGAGAGTTCCACAAGTGAGAAGTGGGAGTGAAGAAACTGAGAACTTATGGTTATATCTCACAATTTCAACTCTCAATGAGACCTAGCTGCCAATCTGGTACTGCATTTAAATTCGTAAAGTCCAGGTACCAAAGCAGAAAGCTTATTAGAACAATTAACATGAAAATATTTATAGAAAAGGTGCAGGGAAACTATATAGCAATTCCCAGATAACAAAGAAAAAAGGAATCTGGAGAGCCATGACTGACTACATATTGAAGGGACATGGCATGAATTCTTTTTAGTCATTTCACACTAAGCAAGGCAATAAAGTCACTAAGATGCAAGGGAATACTGAGTGTGAGAGAATATGAGAAAAAGAAAACATTATTAAAGAGAGAGAGGACAATAAAAGAACTGGAATTAAGAAGAGAGAAGATAATTGACGTTGCATTTAAAATTTTTGCGGATGAAAGTTATCTGGAAAACAAGAAACCAGAAGAGAATCACACAAGTGAAAGGTGTAAGAGAAGAAACTTATGGTTACATCTAGCCATTTCAACTAAAATGATGAGACCTAGCTGCCAATTTAGTACTGCACTTAAATTCATAAATTGTAGGTACCAAAGAAAAAAGCTTTTTAGAACAATTACCATGAAAATATTTCGAAAAAAAGGCATGGAGAAATTACATTACGGCTATGAGAAAGTGAATAAAGCCGAGATGCCAGGTCAGGACTGAAAACACTGCAGATTGTTCTTTAGATTTTACCAAGAATTTCTAAATATATAGCAGAAGCACCAGAGCAGATATAGCAGCAATATTTGAGGAATATTCAAATCAGGCAATTACCATGAAAACATAGAAAGTTCACAGGGAAGCTTGGTGGATAGAAACTGAAGCTGAGATGCCAAGCCAGGACTATTAACATTGCAGATTCTTCTTTCTATTTTATTAATAAATATATAGCAGAAACACCAGACCAGATGTAGCAATATTTAATGCATGGATAAATGGTAAACTTATAAATGTGTAAGATAGATCATGTCAAGGAAAATTGTTTAGCACAACACAGTGAACCAAGTTTGAAAAATATATGTGGTAATTATCAAGTAAACTAAGTAAAAAAAATTCATGAAACTCTATTCAACAAAATGATGTTAACTGAGAATTTATTACAAAGAGAAATTAAGCTTTTCAAACAGTAATAAGGCATTGTGATATTTTTGAAAATAGTATAATGATGATTTTTACCATAGTTTCTTGTTTAATGCTGACTAATTTCATCATCTTTGTTATTTTTTTAATCACTCCTTTCTTTGGAACTGGGTCATATTTCGAAATGTCAAACCTTGATCTTAGGGGACATACATTTCCCCTTCCATAAATGTCACACTTGTGAGTTTCTAAAACCATCTTTCTCACAAATATTTCTTCCTCCCTCAGTTTTCTGCAAATCCAACAAAAATTAATGACCTCATCAACGAGAACTGCTGCCAAACAGTCCATTGGTTCACTCACATGACTTTAATTCATTATGAGATCCTTGTTTGGGGACTTTTCAATACTACGACGTCCTGGAATTTTCTATTGATTACAAGTTGCAGAATATATTAATTAAATTGTGTTAAGAATTTCACAAATGAAACTCTAGGATGTAAAAAATAAAGATTTTTGTATCATTTTAGATATTTTCTTCTTGTTCACAGGGACGCATTTTCCTGGCTGCAGACAGTGACTTTGAACGAAACCGGTGGATGGACATGATCCAGAAATCTAGCCAAGTGTATGTATTATGTCTTGCAAAACAATTCTATATGATTTCTTCATAAACCAGTAGGATTATTTGGGAAGAATATGTGACCCATAAGCTACTTGTAAGAAAAAAAATTGTTCTTAATTGACTAAAAACAACGATTAATTTTAATTGAAAAGTTTTTCAACTGCTGTTTGAAATTGACACTGACAAAAATTATCCTACAACCATCATTTTCATTATATTGATTTGATTTTAATGTGTTCATATATTTATTTTAACACAGAAAAATGACACATCATAGGGCAGTTTTTGTTAGCACAATACTATTAAAATAATCTAACTTAGACAAACTTTTCTAATGACCTATTGTCACAGTTTCATTTTGAGTAATTTCTTTTCATGATATCCTTGAAGGTGATGGGGGGTACTTAATTGTGTCAGTTCCTCTCCAATTAACATATTACAGGTTGTATTGGGTTACATGATACCAGCATCAAGAAACGATCCTTGACTTTAATATATTATTGAACACCTAAAGGGACCCAACTAACCTACTCTTATGCTATAGCTGGATGGGAAAAGTAGTTTCATGCCTTTCCCAAGGACAGCAATACATAGCGCAGACTGATTCCATTCTGGAGGTCATTAACTATTATGACACTCGCACCTCTTAGAGAATAAATCAATTTTCAGTCGGTATAAATTAACACATTCACTGCTACATTGTTATAGCATTTGTAGCTTGGCTGTACTGGCCCATTTTGTGAAAAATAGGAAATTGACATTTACTGGAATTTTTTTATTTTTTTATTTCACCCAATACAAAACCAAAGGGCCACTTGAAGTAGTGGGTTACTGAGTGAGATTGTTTTAATAGTCTAAGGAGGAAGGGTGTGTTCCACTGAGTCCAAGTCTGCACTATCCAGCCCATTTCAGTTATTACTCTCTCTGTTTCCACTGACCCCAAGTATACCTCACAATCACATGCTCACCAAATTCATGAGCTGACACTTTAATCCACTTGGCTATTGTCTCTTGGGATAATTCTGAGTGGAGAAGTTGGAGCCTTAAACCTAACTTGACTATTGACAAGTAGTTGCTGTTACTTGTCACACTTGACTGCACTCAGCAAGGCTTTTCTTTTTGCTGCGGCTGCTGCTGAAGCTTTGTTGTCATTTATCTTTTTTATTTATGGCTCCCATAATGTATTTCTTTCTATGCTATGCCTACCAAAGAAGTCGTCATAGTCTAGCATATGCACTGATTCTTTCAGAGTCTCCAATATTCCTCCTTCCAAAGGGGTTGAGGATTGCTATTTTCCCTCCATACATGATTAGCCATGCCTGATTTCATTGTCATATATGAAGAGAAAAGGGTAGTTATGTATAGTTCTCAGTAAGGTTTGTCTTGTCACCATCCCTCCCACTCCCTGCTCTGTCATTCATTTACACAAACTCATTAAGAGGGTTTCACACTGTTTTTCTCTGTCCCTCTTGTTCTCTGTCAAGTTATTGTTGAATTCTCAAAGTGCTCTTTCTTTATGTATCTGAGGAATTTCAACTCTCTCTGATTGTGCATTCTAATAACTTGGACTGATTTTAAATGTTTAAGAATCTAATGATTTTTTTCTTTTTCTTTCAGATTTAACAACTTAAGTCATTGGCAATTTCAACCATGGAAACATTAACAATCAAACAATGTGTTAAAGTTATCAAAGCCTATTATGAAAATCAACATTCAAACAGAAATGCATTTCATGCACTTTGTGAATTTTTTTGGTCAATATAATTGACCAACTGAGAGTGCAATTGGAAACTATGTAATGTTGTTGTGGCAAGGTTTAAGTCCTGTGCATGATGACGAATGGGGGTGTCTGGATTTTCGGCCACATTCTCATGCACTGCAGCAATGTTTTCAGCTGAATGGCGTAAATGACCACACAATGGTGTTTTCACATCTGTCACCGACTCAGTTTGTTTGAATTTGCAAACAGTTTTTCTAATTGCACTCTTGAAACTTTAACATGTTTGATTGTTTTGAAATTGCCAAAGACTTAAGTTGTTAAATCTGAAAGAAAAAGAAAAAAAATCATTAGACGCTTAAACAATTCACATTTAAAATCAGTCCAAGTTATTGGAACACCCTTTATAACTTCCTTTTTGTTTCCATTTCCCTTAAAACTTCCTTGTTACTCACATGTTCAGTCCATGGTATTCTCAGCATCTTTCTGTAGAAACACATTTCCATTTCCTCAAGTCTTGTGTTCATCTTTGAGTAAATTGTTCAGTATTCACTACCATAGAGGAGGACTGATATTACATAACAGTTCAGCCTTTTTTTCGTTTTTAATTTTTAAGGAATTTTTCCTGTTTCTTAAAACTTGACTTAGCTTTTGAAAGACATCTTTAGCTATTCCAATGCACCTTCACATTTTTGTTTCATATTTTCCATCCACTTTATCATTCAAACATGAATTAATTTATTTTATATCTAAGTTGCAACAGTAATAGATATGGTGGTTGTTTTTATTCCATAGGATATGCTAGTCATACAGAGTTAGATAATAAACACATTTAATAACTGCTGCTTACTATTGACTTGTATCCTGATATAAGTAAAACTTTTATTTGATTGCAAGTCTCTTTATTTCTTGCTGCGTTTGTAATTTGAATTCCTCTCTTTATGCTGAGGTTTGGCCTTTGCTTTCATTATTGTAACTGCTATGACATTTCTGTTGTCTAATTTTCACTGACTCTTTTAGAGTTGTCGCTAAATGCTCACTAATTATATAAGAATTGACCTGAGTTGTTGACACACATTGTCCTTGATGAGTTTAACCAATAAAATAGGTTGGTTGCCCTGTAGCTTTCGGGTCTTTTAGTGACCTATAAACAAATTTGAATATGTCAGAGGGTTTGTAGCAATGTAAACTGTGAAAGTATATGTTGGGTTTAATATAAATGATGCATCAGAACTTTTATTCATATATAATATACTATTTACATTATTCAGGCTATTGTTCTCATTTTTGTTGCCATATTTATCACAACATTTCAGCCGTTGTACGCTCTGGCCTTCTTCAGGTGGTTGGAATGTCGAACTGAACCTTTTAATTCACTCGCTGGAGTAGACTGTTCTAGTTCCATGTACCATGTCTAAAC